CATTGCTGATCTCCAACCAACACCCACGACCGCCAGGGCCCGTCCGGCCAGTCATGTTCCAGACCTCCAGCCTCAACCCGACGAACCCAAAATCGCCAAGATGAGGTTATTCACAGCGTATTCCCGCCAACACGCCGCCGCCCTGCTCCTCCGTCGCGCACCCGTAGCGCCGTCGGCGACCGGCAAGATGAGGAGCTTTCACCACGTTACCCTCGGCCGCGTCAGGACACATGGCCTCCTCCCCCGCCGCAGGCCGACGCTGCAGTCGCGACAGTCGCAGCACGGCTTCTTCACGGCCAGCGACAAGGGCCCCGAGGGATCCGACAGCAACAGCAACAACGGCAAGAAAAAGGCAGCTACCACCTCTCTCCCCGTCGCCGTGCTCACCGGCGGGCTTTTTGTTTGGTGGCTGTATCCGTCTGACGACTTTCAGCGCCTATCGATCGCGCCGACGGACCAACAGAGCGCCGCCCCGCGCGGCGGCGCGCCGGAGCAGAAGAAGGCGAACGAGACGGCGTGGTACAACTTTGCGCTCAAGTTTGAGAACCTGTCCGATGCCACCGACGTCGAGTGGACCGCCGACAAGATTGTCGGGTTCATCCTCCCGGAATGGTCCAAGGGGGTCCCCGGCTACATCCGGAAACTCCAGAGAGAGGTGAGTAGTCGCCGGCGATGAGCCGGTCCGGGTTTTGAGTTGGGAAGAATGCTGATTTGTACCCAAGCTATCCATGTCACCCGGATCTTTGGCTGATGAGATTTGGCAAGAGGCTCATGATCCCTTCATCAATCCCGAGGTGCAATACAGCGCCCGGGTGAGAGTATCCAACGACCTCTGCGATGAGGAAAAGGAGTTCCTGTCGAGGAGAAAGAGGGTCACGACAATGGCCCTAGCCAAGTATCTCGACATTGACGAGAAGGACGTCCACCCCGAAGACGTCCCCACTATCGCTATGTGCGGCTCAGGCGGCGGGTTGAGAGCCCTCGTCGCCGGCACAGGATCCATGCTCGCTGCCGACGAGGACGGACTCTTCGACTGCGTTACTTACACCTCTGGGGTCAGCGGCTCATGCTGGCTACAGACGCTGTACCACTCGTCCATCTCACACGGCAGCCTCGGCCGCGTCCTACAGCACCTCAAGGCCCGGGCGGGCATACACATCGCCTACCCACCTGTCGCCTTCCAGACTCTCCTGTCTGCGCCGACGAGCAAATACCTCCTCAGCGGCATGGTCGAGAAGCTAAAGGGCGACCCTAACGCTGACTTTGGTCTCGTCGACGTTTACGGCTTGCTGTTGGCGGCAAGGTACCTCGTCCCCAGGGGCGACCTCGAAGTGAACGACCGGGACTTCAAGCTCTCCAACCAGAGGGAGTACATCAAGTACGGGCAGAACCCGCTGCCCATCTACACGGCCGTCCGTCACGAGATCCCCGACGTCGAAGTTGACGGCGCCGTAGGCGCCCCCGCCACCTCGGAGGCGGCCAAGGAGGTCGCGAAAAAGGAGGCCTGGTTCCAATGGTTCGAGATCACGCCCTACGAGTTCTTCTGCGAGGAGTTCTCCGCCGGCATCCCCACCTGGGCCATGGGCCGCCGCTTCGACAACGGCGTCGACGTGCCCCCCGAGGAGGGCTTCCACCTGCCCGAGACCCGCATGCCCTTCCTCCTCGGCGTCTTCGGCAGCGCCTTCTGCGCGACCCTCAGCCACTACTACCACGAGATCAGGCCCCTCGTCCAGAGCCTCACCGGTTTCGGCACCCTCGACGAGATGATCTACGGCTACAACGAGGACCTCAGCAAGGTCCACCCCATCGACCCCGGCACGGTCGCCAACTTCGCCTACGGCATGGAGGGCAAGCTGCCCAAGACCGCGCCCAAGAGCATCTTCGGCACCGAGTACATCCAGCTCATGGACGCCGGCATGTCCAACAACCTCCCCATCTACCCGCTCCTCCGCCCCGGCCGCGATGTCGACGTCCTCGTCGCCTTCGACGCCTCCGCCGACATCAAGACGGACAACTGGCTCGCCGTCGCCGACGGCTACGCCCGCCAGCGCGGCATCAAGGGCTGGCCCGTCGGCGTCGGCTGGCCGAAGGCAGACGAGTCCCCCAAGCAGGTCGACGACGAGCTCAAGAAGGCCGAGGCTGCCTCCTCCACAGAGGCGGACCGCAAGCTCCACGACGCCCAGCAGCACCAGATCGACCACCAGGCCGAGCACCCACACCCCACCCCGGACGAGGACACCGCCAAGGGCCAGGCCGCCAAGTTCACCCCGGGCGACCAGGAGTCCGGCGAGCTGGGCTACTGCACCGTCTGGGTCGGCACCACGCAAGAGCGGTCCTCGGAGCCGCCGCCGCCCTCCAAGGCCATCGACGAGCGCTCCTCGTGGCAGCTGATGGAGCCCGACGCCGGCATCGCCATCGTCTACCTGCCGTTCCTGGCTAACCCGAAAGTACCGGGGATCAACCCGGGCACGACGGACTACCTCAGCACGTGGAACTTTGTCTACACGCCTGAGCAGATCGACAATGTCGTCGCGTTGGCAAGGGCCAACTACGCCGAGGGGCGGGAGCAGATCCGCGGCACGGTAAGGGCGGTCTACGAGCGTAAGAGGAAGCTCAGGCTGGAGCGGGAGGAGAAGGCGAAGAAGGACAGGTATAGGAGGCTTGTGCAGAGGGGCATGGCGCACAAGTTGGGAGAGGGTGATCAGTTCAGTTGAGCAGCTTCGTCACTGGAGTTTTTAGTAAAGGGGGAGAGTTGATACCCGGGGGAAAGAGAGGGAGCTTTGTGTGATAAGGGGTGTACGTCGTTTGTAATATTGTCAGAATAGTCAGCTGTCTTAATGATCAGATTCACCTACTCTTCCAGTTCTTTGCGTCTTGTCTAATTCAGTGTGTTCACCTCTTCAACATCTTCAATCTGTGCAGTCTTGACTCAAAAGTCGCCCCGCTTCGAGGAGTGTGTCATTGTTTTTACAGATCTATTCATCTTACAGAGACATGCGTAACCTTTTTTCCACATGTCCTTGTTCAAAAATGTACACTGCCAGACGGCATTCGGTGTCCCGGTCATCACCCATCCGCCCCGCCAAGGCAGTCCTTCTCATCCTTCGTCCTCGTCCCATGGGCAATTACACATGATGCTTTTCGTCTACCGCTTCTCCCCCTCACACCCACGCTCTCTTCCTCTCTCTAAATAATCTCACCCATGTCAATATGCACAGGCTGCCACGGCTTCGCCCCCTCGACGAGCATATCACTCGGCACCCGCACGTTGTTGCCGGGGCTGTACAGGTACCACGATTTGAGCGCGTTCATGGACGCCTGCAGCCGCGCGTTGGTCAGGCTGGCGCCCGTTCCCTCGCCGAGCTTGTCGCGGCCGCTGTAGATGCCGACGACATACACGGGCGTCCTGCTCAGACGGCCCGTCTCGCTCTCGAGGCGCGCCACAGGCGGCTCGAAGCCCTCGCGCGCGCACAGCATGGCCAGCTCCCGCGTCGGCAGCTTGAAGCTGAAGAGCCGCTCGAGGTCGACCTTGCGGCTGAGCACGTGGGCGTCGACGAAGGAGCGCACGGCGTCGCGGCCGCAGTGCGCGTAGATGGCGCCCGTGACGGCCCGCACGAACGCCGCGTGCGCGTTGTTGCGGATGCGTATCCACCGCTCGCGGACGATGGTCGGGTCCTCGAGGAACTCCTCGGGGCTGCTGGACTTGGGCTCCTTCGGGGCCTCCACCCGCTTGGTGTGCACGGTGTCGCCGAACTCGTCGTCGAGGACGACACGCGAGGACACGCCGCGGCGCCACTTGAACTTGTCAAGGTGGTGGGCCTCCTTACGCTCGTAACCCCAGGCGCCCGTGATGCCGACGGTGGGGAGTTCCTGGGACCACTGCAGCAGGCCCGGGTCGACCTCGTCGCCCGGGTGGATGGTGTTCTCGACGCCCCAGCCGTGGGCGATGCGGTAGAGCGAGTCGGAGCCGGCGTAGGCGCGCATGGCCTCGAAGAGGATGGTCATGGGTAGACGGGGGTATTGGCAGACGAGACGCTCGGAGGTGTGGTAGTTGATGAGGGAGGCGCCGACGACGGCGAGGTTGACGTTGTTGAAGTTGGGGCTCGGGTCGGCCGAGGGGTCGACGAGGCAGCGGGCGAGGGTCTGCAGCGGTACCTTCTCGGGGAGGGAGAGACGGGCGTGGAGAGCGGCGAGCTTGGCCGAGGAGAGGGCCTTCTCGGGGAGTGGTGACGGGAAGGACAGCGGCTTGAGCTCCTGTTCGGGCGCTTCCTCGGGCGCTTCCTCGGGGACTTCTACTTCTTTTTCTTCTTCCGTGGCGGAGGGTCGTGTCCACGAGAATAGTGATCTTGCACCGCAGGTGCTGCTGCGGGCATTGTGGACGAGTTGCTGTGAGCTTCTAACGGAGATTGGCGTCAAGGACGGCGAGGCGTGTGTCCTGGCCTGGGCGTTGAGCAGCTGCCCGGTGCATCTTGATATCCTTAACCTCTTCATCGGGGAGTCCTTTTTTGGTGGGGAGAAGAGTTTTGCTGGTCGTTAACGGGACAAAAGAAAGGGAAAGTCGAGCAGTAATTCGATCAATGTCGAACTCGGTAATACGGAGGCCGAGCAATTGGGATTGCTGGGTGTTGATGGAGGGGGGTTCCGCACAGAGTAAAAGTTCCACGTCCCTTCGTTCGCAGCGCCGGTCTCCCGTCACGAAAAAGTTTCTAGACGTCTAATTGACTGGAGTCGTGTGAGCTCTATTCCCCCCCAATGCCAGGGTGAACCGTGCACGAGCCACGCAGTCGCCTTCACCTCAGCCCGTTGTGAGCCCGGAACATCTCGGGTCCGCGTCTCCGGGCGGTGGGAGCTCCACCGTGGAGGAACGGTCGAATAGCGTACCGCAGATTACAACGTCAAGTGCCCGGCTGTGTCGAAAAGCTACCAAACCTGTCGAGGCGGGAAAGCGATTGCCATCACCAGAACCACCCCCAACCTCTTCTCGTTGAAAAGCAGTCAAGATGGTAAGATTGACCCCTCATCTGATTGATCCTGACGCGCCAATTGCTAACTGCTGCACAGGGAGGCGGCCCCAAAGTTCCGTGAGTTATACCCCTCGAAAACCACAACCCACCCACGACCCGCGACCGACCGGAACCCCCCATCGAAATCGAGTCGAAGCTCTTGTCTAACATGTTGCGATTTGAAAAGTTACCCTAAGCACGTCTGGTCGCCGGCCGGTGGCTGGTACGCGCAGCCCGCGAACTGGAAGCTGAACACCGCCATCATCGGCACTGTCATGCTCGGCACCGTCGCCGTCATCTGGAGGATTAGCGCCGAGAAGGAGGTGCGCTACGTTATGCCTCGGGAGAACAGCTTCTTCCCCAGCAGATAGTACGTCTTTCGGCCATGTCGCAAGAGCAGGAGTTTCTGAATTGGGGATTGCGGACTAACAGAATGTGACACAGCTGGTCGAAGCAGTTGATCGAGTACGACAGAGAACAGGCCGCGAAGAAGGAGAAGGAGTCGGCGCAGTCACAAGCTATCCAGAACTCATAAACGAGATGGGACGGGGAAAATTGTACTTGTAAATATGGTACTCAACGAATTGAGGGCCGTGTAATTGCGGCGATTGCGAACAATGCCACGGGAAGACCTTGCGTGTTATCGACGGACCCGCCGGCCAGCTTTTCTCGGACGAAACGCATCTGCAAAAACGAAGGGAGACAATAGCGCAACGCGGCTTTTTCGGACGTGTACATCGATTTCGCCTCCGGCTGTGCTGTAGCGTGCTCCGCCGAAGCCGACCTGCGTCGACATGGACGCCCAATCTAACCTATAGCAGTGGCCGAATTGCGTTGACCGAGATGCTGTTATTGTAGAAGGATAATCAGATGTTTCAGGCCATGACAATATACGGTTTGACCACTTGAGATTGCTGGAGAGCGTGCGTCCACAATCACATGCCCAGATTGAGCTTGTCCTCGACCAGCTCATGACAACTGGAAGGCAACAATAGAAGACAGTTTCAGATCGGCCACACCATGCCCACTGAGTTGAGCATTTGCCTGCTCTGATTGATAGAGGATACCTTATGAAAGCCGTCCGAAGAACTGTCACAATCGGCCATTATCGACATGTCAGTAATGTATACCCATCAGCAGAGCTGCAAATCTGGCACAACCTGGATGAGTAAGAGGTCGAAAGTCAGCGACCACTATTAAAGACACACTAAAGCCACGGCAAGAGAATGTTGGTCATAAACAGCTCTCGTGTATGACAATCTCCTTATTAGTTCCCACGCAAATTGTAGGTGGTATCCTTGATCCAACGAACTGCCTGTGTGCCACCAATCAACCTTCTACTGGTGGAACATCTAAACCATGAGCCAGCTGGAGTCAAAAACCTTCAGCTAACCGCGACAACACACTACCTAATGTCCATTGTGGTTGCCACAGACGAGCTGCATCATTGCAATTGAGCTGATTAGTTTCTGCGGTTGTGAACAGTCTTTAAATACGTATGATCACAGGCAACGATAGCTGTGCAAGGTCTCAGGGCCGGCTCATAGGCCTTCTATAGAACTTGCTAGACGACGAGTCTTGCTCTCACCCCTATGTACCCTCCTCCGTCGACGTTACAGTTCACGCCGTGATGGATCTACACATCACAACAATGTAGGCTCTGATCATCAGCGGATAAAAGGTTATTTCGCGGGGCTAAGTGAGAGACGGCGACTTTTGCAAAAGTACCGTTAGGATGCCCTGAAGGAGACCACCATTGCGAACAACCGGTACTGCTGAAGTCTGTTGATTAGCACTTTGCAGGTTGAGTGTATGAAATCCCATGTCTGCTTCTCGACACCTCCTTGCCGTTTTGTGCGTGACTTGGCGCATTCGAAGCTGGTGCTTGCAAGAGGGTTTACTATCCGGGCAGATGAGATCGACAGTGGCCATCAGTGCCTCGACGTTGGCGACCGCAGGGAGTGCATGGCTTGATAGATAGCTACACGTGGAAAAAGTGTGCTTGCCTGTATGGGTTTCAACCCAACTCAAGCGGTCTCATTGTAGCTCACTCGTGATTTTGAAGACACAGCGCAGGGCCTCCGCAAAAGGACTGTCTCAAGTTAACCCAACATGTTTGTTCTGTTCATGTACACTGTTCGACGGCTCTGACTAGTACGCTCTCAAGCTAGAACGCAGCTTGAAGAACCTGCTCCCCGTAATTACAATTATCCTCGGCCTTGTACAATTAGATTCAAAAGGTCACATTGCGACTCAAAGCATTTCAGAGTATGGCATCTCATTGTCTACCTATCTTGCTCGACACAAGAAGCAGCTCTAGCCCTAGTAAATCGAGGGAGGGAACATGCAACAACACGATTTCCCCCTCCATCCGCCCGCATCGCGGTGCGTTCAACCTGCCCCCCTCCCATGCCCCCGTGTCAAATTACACAAAGGCATCCAAAAAAAGAAGGGGACCAACGCAGCCCGCGCATGGAAAATTCCACCCCTAACAGTCGCCAGCTTGCGACGACCACCAGCCACCAGAGCTGCAAGAAAATCAAGAACGAGAAGGAGGTTTGAAAAAACAACAACAAAGAGTGGCGCAATATACATTAAGCACTAGGCGCTTCCTTTTCCCAGCACTCTGTTTTCGCCAGCATTCGCGGTCTGGCGTTGAATCGAGTCCGGGCACGGTATATGAATCGAAAGAAGTTTTTAAACGGGTGTCTGAAGGAGTGACAAGAAGTGTAGAAGAAAAGAAGTCGCGGGGCCCTGTCGTTGGGCGCTCGCAAAGGGTGTATCAAAAGTTGGTGTCGTAAGAGAGTGACTCGAAAGGTATAAAACAACGCGTTGGTGTCGTCTTTGTTCCCATCGTCGGATTCGTCGTGAGAGTCCGGTCGGGGAAGAAGAAAACAGCATCTTCCCAAATTCTTTTTTGTTGATTCGCAGAAACGCCGTACTGTCCAGAATGCATAGCAGACCCCAGTCTATCGCCAAACGTGAAAGATGAATCCCCAGTCTTTGTGCCAAAAGACGTTATATACGCAGGGAATCAGTGTACATGAACGGTGCTTTTGTGGCACTTAGGCGGCTTGGCCAGGGGGAGGGGACTGGCTAAGGGGAGGAGGGGCTTGGCCAGGGACGGGCTTGCGGCCGACAGGGCCCATGGGAGGGCCAGGAGGGCCTGGGGGACCCATTCGGCTTGGCTGGGGAATCTTGCTAGGTCCCGGAGGGCTTTGCTTGCGAGCGTGTCCTCCCGGGCTCTGAGGTCTTTGTCCAGGAGGTCCTTGGAATCGGGGACCGGGCGACTGAGGGCGACCGCCAGGTCCCATTGGGCCGTTACCGGCCGGAGACTGGGGACGGCCACCGGCAGTTCTGGGGCGCGCAGGCGACTCGGGACGGGGGTAAGGGGGTCCGCCGTGGGGACCACCCTGGGGCGTCATCGGGCGCTGACCGGGAGGGTAGTTAGGACCAGGGCCGCGAGGAGGACCGTTAGGACCGGGTCCTCGAGGGTGACCGTTGGGGCCGGGACCGCGAGGAGGGCCATTGGGGCCATTGGGGCCATTGGGACCAGGGCCACGGGGAGGTCCCTGAGGCCTAGGCTTGACCGGACGAGTAGACAAGCAGGTGCGCGGTACAACACCCTGCTGGGATCTATCCAAGCGAATGCAGAGCGCCTGAGAATGTGTTAGTGTGATTCTTGTAAAGCGGAATGTACTGAAACTTACCCATCCATCATCGTACTCGTGCAAGAGACGCACAAGGCCGCCAGCTCTCAATTCCATCTCATCCTCGAGAGTAGGCTTGAAGTCAAGTTGGATGCGGTGAACAGTCGTGTTGGCAGGTCCACCAGCGGCGGCGATAGCAGCAGATCCAGTGGAGCCGCTGGACTGGTGACCAGGGCCAGCGGAGTTGGCGCTGAACTCGGTACCAGAAGGGCTGGCGGGGACGGTAGACAGGGGCGCGGGGGCGGGGATGGTAAGATCGAGGGCCTTGGGACCATCCTTGCGGGTGGAAGCCTTGCGAGTGAGGGCTCCGGCTGCAACTGCGCCACCGGCAACAGCGGCGGCACCAGCGGCACCAGCAGCCATCGTGGCTCCGTTGATAGAACTAGTGGTGGGGGAAGGAGGCTCGCTGACGGCAGTACCAATGGGAACGTCGGCGGCGACTGAAGGCAGGGGCTTCTCGTTGAGGCTCATGTTGCTTACGGACTCCTCCTTGATGGTGCCGTTGATTCTCTCCGCCCCAGATCCGAAGGGGTTGACGGGGTTTGCGTTCTGGCCAGTGACGGGTCTCTCCCAAGCACTCTGGCCAGGAGCGCGGGCGCCGAGAGCACCAGCAGCAGCGGCGGGAGCCATGTTTCCGTTGACATTACTCTGACGCTTGTCGGCAGGGTTCAAGTTGGGCAGGAACTGAGTGACGGGTCGGAGGCTGACGCGGGGAGCGCGGGTGTTGTTGCCGCTAGTGACAGCGGCGGCAGTTCCAAAGGCACCAGTCTTCTCATCCTCATCAGCCAGGCGCTGCTGCTCCAACTGCTTCTTGCGACGGTTGAAAAGGAAGAAGACGAGGAGGAAGACAACCAGAACACCAGCCAAAACACCAATGGCAATACCAGCCTTTGCGGCACCACTAGGCTCACTGGCAGACTTGTCGCTGATGGCGGTGGAAGTTGCAGAAGCACTGGACACGGCAGTGATTTCGTTGGCGGTGGCCGCTGATCTGGTCGAGCGGGCAAGAGTGGGCGCGTCAGTCGCAATGGCCAGAGTCGAGGGGATGCTCTCGGTGACGGACTCCTCGATGGCGGAGGGGAGAGTGCTCGTGGCAGAGTCGCTTGTGGTGGTAGAGGACGAGGCATCGGGGGTCACGAGGATGGCGCCGCCGGCTCTTTGGATAGTAGTGCCCGAGTCGGCTGTGGTAGTAGTAGACTTAGAGCGGGTGGGAAGGGCAGAGGGCGCGACGATGAGCTTCGTAGAGGAGGTGCTTGAGGCAGCGACGGCGCCGTCGGTGACGGTCTGGTAGATGGTACGAACAACAGTTGAACGACCTTGCCTGTTAGCCCGGCGCGTAGTAGTCGTGTCATCGTCATCGTCTTGACGCTTGATTTTGTCATTACCTCCATTCTTGGTAGTGTTTTCACTGTCGTCATCATCGGAACCGAAAGGGTTCAAGTTCTTGAAACTGTTTCCAACATCGTTCCAGAAATCGGGATTGCGAGGCAGATGCCTGTGAGCAGCACGGTGGTGGTGAGCCATTGTGTAAAGCTGAGGTCGTGTCGTGGCCGAGCGGATCGAGGTCAAGTAATTCAATAGGCCCAGCCAGCAGTCGTCGTGATAAGAATGAAGGTGATGAATGTTTCGGTAGTCGAATCGTCAATGTCGTGGTTCGTGGGTCAGAGGGGTATCTGGAATATCTCTGAGGAATACTGGCGTGGGCGGGAGAGGCTGATGATGGGTATGCTCTTAGGCGACGTGTGCCAGATGAATCGTGATCGTCAAAAGAATGAACGGGCTGTAAACAGGTCCAGCCAGGGAGTCGCGGTGCTCAGATCTGTCG